GATTGTGGAACCCAAAATTGAGAGGGAAACCCAAAAATTTGGGTGAGGAACCCAAAAATTCAGAGGGAAACCCAAAATTCGGGAGTGTGGAACCCAAAAATTTGGGGAGGAACCCAAAATTCGGGGGTGGGGATTCCAAAATTTGGGAATGGGGACCCCAAAATGGCCACGGGGACCCCGCCCCTCCCCCCTCTGTACACGGGGGGTCCCCAGTCCAGCCCCTCCCCCCCTCAGCGGTCACTCTTTGGCCACCCCTCCCCCACCCATCGGTCACTCTTTGGCCACCCCTCCCCCCACTGCACCGGTCACTCTTTGCCTTTGGCCACCTCCCCTGTGGCCACTCGCGCGTGTCCGGCGCTGGCCGCAGCCCCCTCGGCCGCTGAGGACGGGGACAGCCGCGTCCCCAACGTCCGTCCCGCGTCCTCCTGGCCGGACACCTCGKAGCAGCCCTTGGCCTTGGAGCCCACGCCCCCGAAGGTCCCGAATTTGCCCTTGGGCTGCCGGACGGCGCCGATGTCCGGCTCGGCCGCGTGGTCATCGCCGAAGGASGACGAGCGCGGCCGCGGCTTTTTGCCCCGGAACAGCGAGAATTTGCCTTTGGCCGCGGTCACTTCGGCGTCCGGCTCGCCCTCGGCCGAGCCCAGGCTGCCCTTGGAGCCGGACGGCGACCCCGCGCCCCTCCCCCGCTGCTTGGACAGGGTCAGTTTGGGCATTTTGAGCTTGGAGCGCTTGAGCCGCGCTTCGGCCTCGTCCGGCTCGGCCGCGGGGAACTCCACGTCCACCCCGAGCTCGCGGCCGCGGGGCTCGGACTCGGAAAAGGCGAATTTGGGCATCCTCAGCTTGGGGAAGGACACCTTGACCTGGCCGGAGGGGTGGACGGGGCCGGCGCTGACCGATGGACCCTTCACGGTGACATTCGTGTCACCGGACACTGCCATGGCCGGAGCGTCCATCTGGACACCAACACCGCCACCGCTGACCGATGGACCCTTCATGGTGACATTGAGCCCGGAACTGGACATTGCCCTGGCCGGAGTGTCCATCTGGACACCAACACCGCCACCGCTGACCGATGGCCCCTTCACGGTGACATTGAGCCCTGAACTGGACACTGCCATGGCCGGAGCGTCCATCTGGACACCAACACCGCCACCGCTGACCGATGGACCCTTCATGGTGACATTGAGCCCGGAACCGGACACTGCGGCCACCGGAGCGTCCATCTGGACACCAACACCACCAACACCGCCACCGCTGACCGATGGCCCCTTCATGGTGACATTGAGCCCGGAACTGGACATTGCCATGGCCGGAGCGTCCATCTGGACACCAACACCACCGCCACCGCTGACCTTTGACCCCTCAGCCACGCCCACCTTTGGTCCTTTCAGCCTCAGGTCAAGGTCCGGCCCGTGCAGAGTGACCGCTGCGGTGTCACCGCTGTCCGGAGCGGGGCCGGACACTCCGAACTGGGGCAGTTTGAGCGAGGGCAGTTTGATGGTGCCCCCCAGGACCTCCAGGCCGGCGCCGTCCGCGGCCGTTTTTGGGGAGTGGACACTCAAATCKCCGCTCAGCTTTGGTCCTTTCAGCTCCGCGGCCGAAGCCGCTCCGGACACGTCCAGAGAGGGCCCTTTGATGTCCAGAGAGGCCCCCGGGGAGTGGACGGAGCCCCCCTTGACCTCCACGCCCCCGAGTGACCCGTCCAGAGTGACCCCTGGCCCTTGGGCCGAGCCCGAAATGTCCAAATCTCCCTSGAATTTTGGTCCTTTCAGGCTCCCCTCGAGGCCGGCGCCGGACATTTGGGGCCCTTGGAGCTTCACGTCCACCCCCAGCCCCCCCTTKGGCCACCCCACCTTCCCCTCCGGACCGTCCACTCGCGCTCCGGCCACGCCGAATTCGCCGTTTGGTCCTTTCCCCATGTCCGGCGTGGGGACGGTCACCTCCACCCCGAATTTGGGGTCCCCGGACAGGTGGAATTTGGGGCTCTTGACGCTGACGTCCGGCCCGTCCACGCCCACGCCGACGCTCGGGCCCTTGAGGTCGCCGCTGACCGTTGGGATGGMCACGTCCATCTCTCCCTCGGCCTTGGGGCCGTCCCCGCGGGATCTGTGCGATTTCAGGTCGAATTCCACGTCGGGGAAGGAGATTTTCCCGAACATGGCCTTGCGGCCCTTGGGCGATTTGGCGGCCACCTCGGGGCCGCTGACCGCCAGCTCGGCGTCCACCTCGGCTCCGGCCGCGGCCACCTCGAACGCKCCCTTCTTGCCCTTCACTTTGGGGCCGCTCATGTGGATTTTGGGCATTTTGAATTTGCTTTTTTTGCCCTTGGTGGTCACACTGAGCTCGGGGCACTCAGCGGTCACTTCGGCCTCGGGCAGCTCAACCTCGGCCTTGGGGCTCCTCATCCCGAACCCGAATTTGGGTTTTTTGAATTTGGGTGTTTTGACCTCGGCGCCGTCCACGCTCAGCTCCGGACCCTCCACGTCCACTTCGGGGCCTTTCAGCCCAAATTCGGGGCCTTTCAGCCCGAATTCGGGGCCTTTCAGCCCAAATTCAGGGCTTTTCAGCCCAAATTCGGGGCCTTTGATGTCCACCCCGGGCCCTCTGAGCTGACCCTCGGCCTTGGGGGCGGTCACTTCGAAGCCGCCCTTGGTTTTGTGTCCTTTCAGGCTCAAATCGATCTCGGGCATGGAGATTTTGGGGAGGTTCACGTGCATTTCGGGCATTTTCACTTTGGGCCCCTCCGTGCTGAGCTCGGCTTTGGGGCCGCTTAGGCCCAGCTCAACTTTGGGCAGATCCGCGTCCACCTCGGGGCCGTCGCCTTTGAAGCCGAATTTGGGAATTTTCATTTTGGGCATTTTCACCTTCCCCTCCAAACCATCGACATCGACCGCCGGGGCCTCCACCTCCATTTTGGGGCCTTTCACCTCCATTTTGGGGCCTTTCA